TGTTGTTATGTTTTCAAGGAAATGGTGCGAATATTTATAACTTATCAAATATGGAGCTTAATAATATAGAAACAGAAGCCTCATCAATGGGACTCAAATTTCATATACCGAAAATAAAAAATACTAACAGGATTGATACAGAAGCTTAATTCGAAAATCTGTTCGACCAGTTAAAAGATTTGTAACCAATAAATGAGGAAAATAAAGGATGATCCGAATCAAAGTTAGTTGATATTGCTTACCAATACTTCGTATCATCGACATCAAAGTCGAATATTCCATTCAAAGAACATCTGACAGCCCTAAGAAACATCAAACAAAATAATGAGGTTTAGGTGTCATCCTAATGAATACAGCTGAAGTCAATTCTAGACGATCGACTGAGGTTCAAGGTAGATAAATCGAAAACAGATTTAACTAATTCAACAGTAAAACGAATCACAGGCATGCTTAGAGAACTTCTAAAAAGCAAATTATTGCTTATTCTACGTAAAATGATCTAAAACCACATGTATCACGTCTATCTCATATGTATGGTTTATCAAAAGTTCACAAACACAACGTTCTCCTTAAAACTATCCTATCAATGATCAATTCACCGTATCACAAAGATGCACTCTGGCTAGCAGAAAAACTAGAACCGGTCCGTCGGAGATTAGTAACATATACGTTAAAAGATTCAATCCAATTTGTTGATAGACTAAATCGTACAAATGTTGCCAATAAGTTCATGGTTTCTTTTGATGTAACATCCTTGTTCACCAATATACCACTTCTTGAAACTATTGATATAATTTGTCAGAATTATGATCTCCTACCTTTACCAGCCCCGGAATTCAAAAAACTACTATTAATGTGCACAACAGACATTCAATTCCAGTTTAATAACACCATATATCGTCAGATCGACGACGTAGCAATGGAAAGCCCATTTAGTTCAATTACGGCAGGTATTTTTTATGGGTTATCTTGAAATTACGGTGCTTAAACAGGAGATTAGCGAAACAACGGAATACTCCAGATATTTTGATGACACGTTTATTGTCTGTAACAAAAAAGACAGCATACAATCCGCCTGTTAAAACTCTTCAATAATGCTCATCTTAACATACAACTTCCTATAGAACACGAACAGAATGACATGTTCCACTTTCTTGATGTTGCCATGAAATGTAGTGAAGATGGGACTGTTCAACGTTTGGTTTATCGAAAAATTACTTTGAATGGCCTTTACCTGAATTTCAACAATTTTTGTCCAATCAGTTACAAGAAGGCATTAGTTGAAACACTACTTTACAGGGCAGAAAGGATACGTACCACTAACAAACTGGAAGAAGAATTGATGAATGTGGAAAAATACCTACGAGACAACTTTTACTCACAAAAGTTTGTTAAAAAAATATAAAAAATCTTAAAGAAGATAAGACGAAAGTAATTATGGTCAATAAAAAACCACTATTTATAAACCTTAACCTTAAAGGTGATGATGTTACTAACACAATCAACAGGAGACTGAATACTGCGCTAGCCAGAACTTATCCGGCGGTCAAACTTCAAATTCTGTATAAAACAACATGTTCAATAACTCAGTCAAAGATTGATAAGCATCCCTTTCATATTATTGCCAATTATACTTAGAAATAGTGCAAAGTTACAATGTTGATCAAGAAGCATGGATGATTCATAAATGATTTCATAATGTTTTCAATTATTTCTAGGATGTTTCACAAATTGAGTTAGAAAAGTCAGGTTGACTTCTCTATTGTACATCAATTTTAAAGACGCTTGTTCTAGGCGAAAGCTGTTGGAGTGAAGAATTCAAGATAGTTGATAGATTGTATCGGATTTCAACTTCTATAAATAATGTCTACACACCATTACTTCTGCATTTTTCTCTAGTTATTACTACAACCTATTAATTGATCTGATAAGGTTTATTTCTTCAGTACATACGTTTGTAACATTGCAGTTCTTGTTCTCATTATATATGATGGATAGATTCCACCTAATTGAATTGATCTTTGATGATTTTATTGATAACTATAATGAAAAATTCACAATTCAATTATACTACTGAAATAATAAAACATTCAAATCATTATCAGTTTAGGTGTTGTGGAGATTGTTAAATTTTTGATTAAGATCATGAACCGATTGATGTTAGACCACTATAACCCTATACTGATAATTACCATGTGCTCACTAGTGACTAGCTTTGTGAGAAAATTCTCGGATTTCTGGTGAGAAGCCGTGACCAGTGGAGCTAATCTGTGTTGGGTAGAAACAGGTGTCTACCTCAGTACAATGGAAGATGGTCGCGCAACGTCGTGGATTGGTTGAGGTTAGACATCTACACTATTGGATGCCGGCTCAGTGGTCCAGTAGGTTAAGCGTTCCCGCGCGAGGCTAAAGGCCCTGGGTTTGAACCCCGCGGGCGAGGTGAAGAGTCCCACAATAGGGTGAAATGGCCGTCCAGTGTTTCCAGGTTTTCAATGGTAGTCTAACATCAATCGGTTCATGATCTCAATCATAAATTCAAATCACTCATTCGTACAAATAAATGTGTTTTTTGTTATTTCAAATTATATTACTAACAAAAAATAAAGTAATACATTTCATTTCGAAAAAGAAGTTTTTGAAAGTATCTATGTAATATTGATTATGGATTGATGCAATAATGAAAATTCAGTAACATTATGTAACTATGGTGAAACTATAATTTATGGACGACCTTTGAGCGACGCTAAAGTAACTTTGAGAGTGTCTACCTAAATAAGGGTTATAAACCTGTGTGAAGAATTAGAATTATGATTTACAGTTGATGGTTAAAATTAGGAATTAGATTTAGGGTTTTTCATCACGAACTAACACCAGCTATAATGCCTAAATTCTATTTAGCCAAATGGATGAGTAGATTTCAAGCAAATATCCGAGAAATGTTATTTTATAGCTGATTGATTCGTCCATAAATGATTGTCTCACCGTAACTATTTTATCATAGTACCAATACTCCTAAAAAAATGAATGCCACCATGAACTTTCAGAAATGAATTCATAACCATTAGATCTCATATTGAGCATTTGAACTTCTTAGAACTTTGATTTGATACAAAATCTTCTAGATTTCCTACTTCAATTAATGAATGATATAATTCAACAAATAATCAATGTCATTAGTAATGACCATTCGGTCTAGATCAAATAAAATAAACATATAAGATAGGATACAATTCAGCAGTATTACAGGTTCTATGTTGCATGTTTTCTTATATTGAAGTTAGATATTAACACTGTTGGATTTATTTTTGCTTATTTATTTAAACATATAAACATTGGTACAAGGAGGCACGAAATACATATGCAACACATAAATCACCCGATTTGTGTGAGGGCTGTGATACTGAACGTGTGCCCACACTGAAGTAGATGGTTTTCTTAGGGGGGCCACACCCAAAACCTTTGACATAAAGGTCTGATCCACAAGACAGTGGAGCAACGTCAGGAGATGCAATTCCATGGGAGTCGGTGACCAATAATTGATTCATATGCTATTTGTTGCATCAAGATCTTGAACTCCATGTACACTATTGGTTTTGAATCAGTGTTTTCCAACTCCTCTATTTGGATCCTCCATATCGACCAACTTGGTTAAAGCTCCGTACATTCACTTTTCATCCTCTCAATCTCGTAAACAACAGTAATGCCGTGAGAAGTCAGTGAGTAGATCTTTATAGCGACTCACGTGCTAATGGGTTTATTTTCATTTAACCCAGTTAAGCCCTTTTTGTTAACTTATTTAGCGGACAAAGCCATCCGCGCTATAACAATTTATTGTATCCTTATTTATTATTTTGCGCTTGTATGAAATACGTATGCTTGAATATTGATTACTGCCTACGCATTTATTCACTCTGCTAATCTTACCACTAACCGCTTATTCGATTCGATTACTCATTAATTTCACATGCTATATATATGTCCATGTTATTCATATTGAACACTCAATCGCTCACTCGCTCGCACGGTCTCGTCACGCTCTTGCTCTGGCTCTCGTTCGCTTGCTTGCCTTTCGGCACAACTCTTCTATGCTTGTTTAACCTATCTGTACATTTGGCTATATGTGTGTGGTTTCGTAATAAACGTAATCGACACTTCGTATTTGCCTTCTGATTAATATACCGTTGGTACGCAGTGGTTGTACGCAGTTGACCATGTAAGAGCATTTGAAGAGAGAGAGAGCGAGAGCGAGAGAGAGCTGACTCTCTCCACTCTATGCCGTATCAGAGAATTAGAGGGGTGGGAGCTCAGTAATCTAAAAGTTAAACTTTTAACCGCGAGACTAATAAGTTCTGGATTCGAATCCTTTGAAGTGGGATCTTGGATGTACATTGTTAAAGAGAAGTTTCATACTAGAACAAAACAACTATCCAGTACTTTCAAACTCTTCACAAAAACCTGATTTCTATAAATAAATAAATAAATAGATTAACATTTATACAATTTACAATAGATCCATCTATATTGAAGTAATCACGAAGAAGAAAAGAAAAAAAAAAAAAAGAAACGTCACATCCGGTATTTAACCATTTTTCAAACAATTAAAACTAACATAATTACTCTTCGTAATTATTCAATCATTATGATTATGAGTATTCTACTTCGTGAATATGTAACCTTCTATTCAATGAATAAATGAATGTGAATCATTTCCTGATTATAATTTTGAAGATCAACTAAGTTCCGATAATTAACTATAATTGAACAATGAACAAGAAATATATGTAAATGTATTTAAACAACAATAATATTTGTTTATTATTCATACTACTACTACTGATAATAATAATAGTAGTAGTACTAGTAGTAATGATCATAATAAATATTGGTCTGATTATGATGAGTATAAAAGGATTCAATAAATGATATAAACAAATATTTATATTTAGAATTTTCATTCTTATTTATAACAACTACTTAATATGAAATACTACTGTTTACAGAATATTTCTTTAATGGTAATCACTATGGTGTTGTTATTGATGACAATGATGATCAATGTTAATTATTCATGTGAGTTAACAAGTTTTATCATCATGTATGTATGTATGTATGTATGTAGAGATGTTAAGAAATAATGAGCATTTCTTAGTATAAAGTTGTGAAGATTTGATCGAGATCATGAATTGATTGATGTTAGATTATTGTTGAAAATCTGGAAGAAATGAAGAGCTATTTCGTCGTCTTGTGAAACTATTCCTTAGTAGTGTGTATTCATGATCCTGTTATAAGAGCCTACAGCTTTGTATGTGAATGTTTGATCTTTAGATCACTGAGTTGACATTCAATGATGTTAATGTTTGACTTCAACCAATCCACGAAATTGTGCAACCACCATCTTCCATTAGTTTTTCAGTATACTTAATGGTCATATTTGCAAATTTCTTCTAGATGATGATAGTTTATTATGAAAATTATATAAACACCTTCATGAAATAGACTGATGATATAATTGAAATGTATATATTTTATGATCAAAGATGGCTAGTGGGTAGCAATGGAATCTAGGATGCGTGTTTCGTCCTATTTAAGACTTGTCAACTGGATGTCATTGCATTACACAGTTGATGATTACTCCGGAACTCTAGGATGTAGGTACATCCAGATGATGAGTTCCAAATAAGACGAAACGCCAGTCACGGGTTTCACTCTTAGCCACCATCCATCTTTGCCTATAAAGGCAATATCGAGGTAATTCGCATAGGATGCAAATATATCAATAAGAGACTGATCAATTGTAGTCCGAAAACAACAACGAGCAGATACAAACAAACAATACCATATGAATTGAAATGTATACTGTTTAAATTGTCGTTCAAATGTTCTACTGAATCATCTACAAATAATCATATCAATAAACAAACTTCAATTAATACTCAGATATTGAAATACCTACTAATAGTCATTCGATTAGAGATGTGTCTCCTTTTAAAACTGTATTTTGCACAATCTATAATTTATAGGCTTAATAAACTTACTTACCTAAGCCTGTTACTTCTTGTGGAGGAGTGTAGACCGTCCACCGGCACTCTCTATCCAATCCTGTCCTGTACAACCCTTTTCAGTTATTTCCAGTTGTTATTCATCTTCGTCGTGTTTGCTTCCAATTATCGACTCACCGTGTTCTTTGGCTATCATATTTTCTGTTTCTCTTCAGGATCTCAAGTTAGGGCTTGCCTCGTGCTGCAGTTTGGTGATTTCCGTAATGTATGTCCTGTCCATTTCCATCGTCTTTTCCCAATTTCCTCTTGATCTGTACGCTGGTTTGTTCCCTCCCACAACAGGCTATTACTAATGGTATCCAGCCAATGGATGTTAAGTATCTTGCGTAGATAACTATTTATAAATACCTTCACCTTCTGAGTGATGGTTATAGTTGTTCTTCGAGTTTCAGCTCCGTACAGTAGATCTGACTGTTTTGACGTTCGTATTGAAGATCGTGACTTTCATATTGGCTTGCCGATAGTTGTTTTGAGTTCTATATATTCTTCAATTTTAACCTTAATAAAAGTTTGAGAATTTTAATAAACAGTTCAAATTTACAAGAGAATTGTTCAATGCTTTATCCTTCATGAAGTCATTATTGATCAAATAGAAACATTTAATACTATTGATAACAAAGATATTATATGGTACCGTGAATTAGTCGATGTCATTCAGGACTTCAAAGGCTTAAAATGTAGTATTGCTGACTGTGAAAAATAATGTCGGTTTCGTTTAATATACTCCGCCTGGAGTCCCTCCGGTGGCTACTGCCGGTCACATGCCCAGATAAAGGAGGAGGGTTGGGCATGGTGTTAGCGTCCCCATCCCCTAGACAACAAACTCGCTAAAAAACGCTAACCAGAAAAAATTATTCGTTTAATATTCTGGATAAGGGTCAACAATCATTAGTCCTAAACTTAGTTCAGAGCCTCGATTCATGTAAAAGCTCTCCTCACTGATAGTAAAATCGGTGTTTGTTTTTTCTATGACATTGCTTTACGCACTATGATACCTAGTATACTTATTCGTGTCTTGATATTCTGAAATCAAATGAATCACATATTATATACACTCCAGGTAATGTTAAGTTTCCAACTAATATTGATTTGCTCATATGAAACTAGTCAGTTATATGGAGACTATTAAATTATAAATTAGGTAGAGAATCCGTCCATTTGATGTAAACTGTAAGGTTCGAGAGTGTTGTCGATAAATAAGGGGTAATGGGAATCTACGATCCCGTCTTGCGAGGTTCGAATCCAGAACCTATCCATCTCGTGTGTGAGCACTTGACCATTAGACCATTGAGCCGAATCTCGCAAGGCAGCATCGTGGATGAGCACTGCTAAGGAGGAGTCCTACACTAGAACGAAACGGCCATCCAGTGCTTCCAGATTTTCCATCGTGGTCTATCTTCAATTGACTCATGTATTTAACTATTGAATTACTCTAACATCCATAAAACCCCTCTCTGACAATAAGGGGTAGCTTTGGTGCTACATAAACTTATAGACCTCTATCATATTATTGATAGGATTTAAATATCTTCATGTTACTTAAATACTCATGTCATTGAATAATACAATTTATTATTCTGTTAAATGTCTACCGTCACATCATGATATTTAAACAAGATCCTTGATAGGAGTTTAAGAGTGTAAAGATAGGACGTATGGGTTAGAGCATCCTTGGGTGTATTAACAAATTCCTGGCAAGTACTAACTTGCACAAAACCTAAATAAGGAGGTTTATCGAAGTCAGCTTGACACTGTTCATTTTTTCTTACTTGATTAAATGTGAAACAGATACAATTGAAGAAGACCAGTATGGAGAATCAGATGGTGAGATAGATGGTGATTATGAATATGACGATGGAGATGGAGATGAAACGGATGTTGAGAATGAAGATGGCTATGAAAATGAAGGAGTACTGAATGATCCACATTTCTATAGGAAAGGACATTATAAGAAATGAGGTAGGTTTCAGTATGATGTCTATTCGTAATAAACACCCTAAATCTTATTCTTAACCCTAACTATCAACTATAAATATTAATCTAAATTCCTCACAATGGGTTACTATCCTCATTTAGCCGCACTGCATAGCTTGACGTTCTCAAGGTCTTTTTAACGTCTCTCAAAGGTGATCCATAAAATTATAGTCTCAACGTTCTATTCTGTATTCCATAAAAGTGAAGTTAAATCAAGTCATGAGTAATATAATAACTACCGGTAGAGTTGGATGGTATAGGTTTATGTGATATTTGGTACTATAAAAGGTAAACGTTCAGCTTATTGAACTAAAAATAACTCACCAACTACGTCCATGATTCAATGTCTGTCAGTTTCATGTGGGAATGTTTCAGAGGAATCAGAAACTAGAAAGATATAATCATACACTCCTTATTCATTTTCACAATACTTTACTTGATATCAATCCGCAAAAACAAAACAACACAATATACATTCAGAATTCATGTTATATATTGGGGTAATATATATAGTAATAAACATAAATGTATAATTACGTTATCAATTAGATCGCAACCTTCGGTGCTACCTTGACGTGGTGATTGAGCTTGCCTATCGAAATGAACCAATCGAGCTATACTGGCTGAAACAATCGTTCCTCAAGGTTCTACCGCGCCAGACAGGTCTGTTGAAAATCGGCAAGACTAAAAGCTGCAAACGCAGGGTCCGAAGGGGAAATCGTACTGCTCACTGCACAGAGGTGTCACGGCAGTACGGTGTTTTCTTCAGACAACTAGCATAACAGCGATTCTGTCTTCCTACTAGGGATGGGGTGTGGTTGGGTTAGAAAAGGTGGACCCTGAAATCACACACCTCGCTATATCTCAAGGATATCCGTCTCCGACGGTAAGGTCTCAATAAGTACGGAGCGAACACAGAAATTACTCACAAAAAGGGTTGTGTTCGATTGAATTCAATCAGTTGTCCCTTGGAAACAGAGGTCAAGCTTTCAGGTGAATAAGACCACCTCAATTTCCTTTTCAGGTACCTTCAGAAGAACCCTCCCACCGTATGGGCAACCGGGAAGGGATAACTACTCTCATACGTCTAACAGCACTTAAGATCACTGACTGACTAAGATCAATGCATATGACCTAGAGAAAAGGACAAACTGAATCTATTTAGCATTTCTACCGTATGTTATAATTAGGTTGTAGGTGTATTTTATAATAATACAGCTGTAATCATTTATTTTAAAGAAAATTGACTATCAAAAGGGGTTTTTGTGGATATTATAGTAATTTCAATAGTTGAGATCATGAATCAATTGAAGCTAGACCACCATGGAAAACTTGGAAGTACTGAACGGCTGTTTCATCCTATTGTTGGACTCCTCCATAGGAGTGTGCATCTACGATCCCGCCTCACAAGATTTGAACCATTCAGTACTTCCAAGTTTCGCATGACGGTTCAGCTTCAACTGACTCATGATTTCAACCATTGAAAATTGAATGATATTGGTTTGATTTAAATCTTTATTTGGTTGTATACTTTTATAGGTTTTTATATATCTGGGCAAGACTGATTACCGACTAGTGAGGATTGTATCTTTTAAAATGTAACAACTAATAGTTTGAAATGATAAAATAGTACAATAAATGAATTTGCATTGTTCTTTGTTTTATTGATTTATTATTTCCATTTATCATATACAAACAACTAACGAATCACTACCGATTTTTATGTATATTTAAGTTGGAAGTACAGTGTTATTGTTTGGCAAGGTTGTGAGTAACACCGCTATCAATCACTGGCTGCTTAGACTGAAGTAGATGAGGTGGGGTGGAGATTTTGAACTTATTACAACATAGTGTCTATAAGCAAAGTAATTTATCCACCAGATCACTTGTTGTGACTTTAAGTTCAACTAGTTATCATGTAACTAATTCACCAATCGAAATACGATTGGTTCACACTTGTACTGTACTATAGCAATGACATTCGACCAGTATGACCAACTTAGCGTCCTTATTAGTTATTTGTTCTTCTGTGGTGTATACTACTTATATTCACATAAGTAGTATATGATGTTAGTCGTGAACAGAAGGTCTGGAAGCAGAGAGACATGAGGATCGAACAGTAAAGAATGGAAACAGAATGCAATTTGTATGAAAATGCAAGAACAATGAAGTCTGAGTGATTTTGAGACAATTGGTGAACATTTTTCAAATTAAGCATTTATTTTATGATTGTTCGATTTTATTAATGAGTCCTGTAATGTGTACTCACTAGTGTTCTTCTTCTTCACTACACTTCTGGCTCGTCTACTTGACTCCAGAACATCAATAAAAGCTTTTTACTATGCGAATTGTTTATTTCAAACATGCTTGGTTTATATACCAGACAAACAGACCATATCAGATCATAAAATAGAAAATAACATCTACACAAGATCAAATCATAAAGTGACTGTGAACGTAGGAGACTGTAATTAATCGATTGAGTATAAATTAAGAATAGTAAGTTGTATCATAGTAGTCTATGGGTCAAAATGAAGCCTCTAATAAGATGAATATAAATAAACATGGAAGTCATAAAGAGAGAGTCATCAAGTTCATATTTATGTACGTATTAGAAATAATTTAAGAAGAAAAGTTGGAATATTCCTAAAATGTGGAAAAAACCATGGTACTTAATTGACTGCCTTTATACTACTGACATTTGTCAGTCTTTCAAAACTATTAACAAATAAAAAAAAGTATTCAGCTTCCTGGCGCTAGACCTAAACAATAGTGATTAAAACATTCGTCTTGAATTTATGTGTTCAGAAAAACACAGTTATCAGTATCTTAGTAAACTCACAATTGTGAAACACTAATACTTGTTCATATTAAAGTCAATACAAGTAGAGCTGATGTGATTCAGCTAACAAACTCAACATTGAAATGAAACTGAAATACATTTGCGTAAATGCCCATTTGAAATGATAATGTGTACGGATCAAATAGTTATCACTTTTTATTACATATACCTCCAAACGCCCTGGTATTGCTGACAGTGAGGAAAGTCAGCTCTCTCTCTCGAAATGCTCTCAATTAGCCATGTGCATACAACCACCGCCAGAGAAGTTCTACTGACTGCCTTCTCGCGGCATTACTGTTGTTTAGGGAATTGAGAGGACGAAAAGTGAATGTACGGAGCTTTAACCAAGTTGGTGGATATGGAGGATCCAAATAGAGCAGTTGGAAAACCCTGATTCAAAACCAATAGTGTACATGGTATTCAGGATCCTGATGGAACAAATGGCGTATGAACCAATTGTTGATGACCGGCTACCAACGAACATTGCTCCACTGCCTTATGCATCAGACCTTCAGGTCAGAGGTCCGAGTGTGGTCCCTCTAAGAAAACCATCTACTTCGGTTTGGGCACCCGGGCAGTATCGCAGCCCCTATGTATATCTGTTTGGTGCCTTCTTGTACTAATGTTTATGTGTTTAAATAAATAAATAAATCTTCAATATATTTCACTACATATATCATAAAATGAACAATGTAATTATGTAACTATTATATAACAGATAATCACAGATAACAGTAATAATAATAATAATAATAACAATGTGTTTTGTATTTTTAACTAAGTAGTTGTGAACGTATCTCCATAGGCTTGTAGCGTGGAGTCGAGTTGAGATTAACTGTGAACACCACTACCAAGAAACACGTGCCAAGTAGATCAGAAGGCGTAGGTTGAACGTAACCAAAGAAACCCATAAAATCCCCGAGAAGCCAAATACCAGAAGGCAATTAATGGACCAAATCGAGATATTTATTTGCTACCGATCTCGTGGCATCGAAAGGATACCGAGATCGTGCCAGGCGACAAGCTTGGTTACAGAACGTAACCAAATTCGCGCGAAGTTACAATCGAAAGTGTGAGTATAAGAATGGAAGCACAAAGTAGCTGTCATTAGCACAGTCAAACAAAAGCACGTTAAAACAAACACTGGTACAGTTGGTTATAATAATAATTGTTTTTATTAAACCAGTCGTGTTCTCGTGATAAATGTGAGTCACTACAGGCTCTTACTAAAAAAACTATTCAAGATTTATATCAGTCCATCAAGTTAATTTATCCAAAAGACGTTATATCTAGAAGTTTGTTCTTGATATACTGAGTATAACGGGAGTACTAGAACGCCAGAACCCTTCCAAGTAGCAATGAGAAGAAAGGAGACTAATGAAAGCAATATTATTCCCAGACAGTATCAATTATAGTACAAAATTGTCAGGTATTTATAGTTTTTAGTAAGAACAAAATCATCATTGCATTCCACCAGGGGGTTATTAGCATTGTCCAATCAGGAAGCTACACATTAGAACTCTAGAATATTCTTCCAAAAGGTGATTGGATAGAATATATTCAAGTACTTCTGAGCCTCCTACAGCTTCCTCAAGTTCACCTGTGTTCCATCGTCACAAAAGATATATGAACAATGAACATTGTTTGACTTTTAAATAATCAAATATTCAATAGGAAACGGTACCGGACTTATTGCCCTATTCATCATTCCTCTCTCTCTCTCATTCTCCCTCCCTAAATTTCATTCAATATTAAAACAGAATATCTTGATATTGTGACAAATTTGCTTTTGTATATTTTAGCACCATATTGGTATATTACTGAAAACAAAGGATAGATTCTACACTGATTACAAATATTCTATTACTCGGTGAGACTGTAATTTATGGACGAATCAATCAGATTTACGATAACAGGTCTCGGAATATGGTGCAAAATTCCCTCATTCATTTGACTAAATAGCGTTTTGGCATTTTAACTGATGTTAGTTCGTGATGAAAACTATAAATCTAATCCTTTTCCCGAATCATTAACTATGAATCACAAACCTTATCGTTCATACAAGTTTACACCACATTGGTAAACATGCTCCTTACATTTTGGTGGAGTTTTGTTCACCGAGCATGATTGTTTGGTCGTGGAG